TTATATTTCCTAAAATAATTGCATTTCCATGTTGTGTGTACTGCGGGAGACCAGATATAGTGAATGCAGGGTCCTAGGTTTAGTAACACTTTAAAGTTTACCTTTTATAGAAAAAATAATAAATGTATCTGTGGCCCTGGCTACAAACATTGGTAGGTTGCAGTTGAATCTATGTTTGGAAGTTGCAGCCTGAGTAGAGGTGCTCTTCGTTTTACAGAGGTAGTGGCTCCTGAGGAGGGGGGGTTTGGGATCTTCCATTGTGGAAGTTACATTTTCTTTCCTGTGACCTATTTTATGAATTGGTCAAGTGCCTCCCTAAAAAGATATTTTTCTTGAAATGGCATATGTACAGTGCTAAGCATAAATGAGTACAGTAAGATTTTAATCGATATCTCAAACACAAGAACAATTTCCAAAATTCTGAAAAAAATTTGTTCTCCTAGATTGTAAGCTCCAAGGAGCAGGGCCCTCCTATCCCTCTTGTATTGAACTGTATTGTCTCCCGTTATATTTTAAAGCGCTGAGCAAACTGTTGGCGCTATATAAATCCTGGATAATAATAATAATAATAATAATAGAACACTTGTTTCGCTCATTACATTAAAGTAAACATAATAATATAACTTAGATTATAAAATCTTCAGTTTTACTCAAATTAGTTGATGCAAAAATGAATACACCCCACAACAAAAACTACTACATCTAGTATTTTGTATGGCCTCCATGTAACATGTTCCAAAGGTGAACTTATCCTTTAAGTATTTGAGAAGAGAAGACAGAAACAATTGAGTACTGATACTTTTTTTTTTTTTTTGCACTAACATACAATTTTGAGGACAAGCTTTTGGGGTATGTCCCCTTCTTCAAGGTCCAAGCAGTACTATTACAATGTTTTAGCAGAATGTTAGAGCAGAAAGAAACACAAGCCTAGGTTAAGACTAGAGATAAGACACAGCAAAGAAAAAGCAAAGACTGGGGGGGGGGGGGGGGGGGGAACAACACTCACAGAGGGAGTCATAAAAATGTTGGATAATGATTGAGGAATCCTATGTCCTATGTCCAAATTAAGGCCCTTATCTCTTGTGTCAAATAGAATTATCATTCTTAGTTCAAAAGTTCTTCTTTCCTGAATGGATTTGAAATTTCCTTTAAGAACTAAAACATTGAGGTCTTCCATAATGTGGTCTGGTTGTGCGAAATGGTGTCCCACAGGTGTGCAGAAGTCATCTTCTTTATGTTCCTTGATGGTATGTCTGTGCAAATTCATCCTTGTTTGCAACTTCTGTCCTGTTTCGCCAACATAAGATCCTTTGCTGCATTTTCTGCACTGGATAAGGTACACAACATTACTAGAGGTGCAGCTGTATGATCCGGAGATATTGAAGATCCCTTTTGAGTGTCTGACACTTTTTGATGGATTGATTTGGTTGCACAGTTTGCAGCGTTTTTTATTGCAGGATTCGCTTCCATTATTTGTGACCTCATAATCAGAAGGAAGTTTCCTACTGATTAGTTTATTTCTGAGGTTGGGGGGTTGTCTGAAAGCCAGTATTGGGGGTTGCTGGAATATTTCTTTCAGAGTTACATCCTCTGTTATGATGGGTTGTAAATCTTTGATTATTTTTCTTATCCCTTCTAGTGCCGGGTTGTATGTGGTTACTAGAGGTACACGGTTGTTTGTTTTTTTCTCCTTGTACTGAAGTAGATTTTCTCTTCGGGTTCTCAAGGCTGTGTTTATGCCGGTGTTGATAGTTTTGTCCTTGTAACCTTTGTTATGGAAGGAGTCTGCTAGTGTCCCAAGATGTGTATCTCTGTCTCTTGGGTCAGAACATATTCGGTGGTATCTGATGGCCTGACTGTGTATGATGGCACGTTTCGTGTGTTGAGGGTGGAAGCTGGAACTGTGGAGGTAGTTGCATCTGTCAGTGGGTTTCCTGTATATTGAGGTGTGAAGTGTATCACCCCTGATGTATACTGTGGTGTCTAGGAAGTTGACATGTGTTTGAGTATTCCATTTTTAGTTTGATTGATGGATGGAAAGTGTTGATCAATGAGTAAAATTGTTTTAGATTTTTTTTCACCTTCTGTCCATATGATGAAAATATCATCAATATAGCGATAGTATCTGTATGTTTTTTGTTTAATGCTGTTCAGGAATTTTTCCTCCAGGTCAGCCATAAATAAATTGGCATATTGGGGTGCCATTTTACTTCCCATCGCAGTACCCATACATTGAAGATAGATGTCTTTATTGAAGGCAAAGTAGTTGTGTGTAAGTATGAATTCAATGAGCTGTGTAACATCCTCAGCAGTGTATTTGTGGTTTGGTGAGGATAAGGATCTGTGACATGCAGCTAATCCATCCTTGTAAGGGATATTACTATACAGGGATACTACATCCATAGTCACTAGAAGTGTATTAGATGGTAATTGCTGTCTGTTGTTGATCTTGTTCAGAAAGTCAGTTGTGTCTTGTAGGAAACTAGCAGTATTCTTGACTAACGGTTTTAAAATTTCTTCTACAAAGCCTGAGATTTGTTCGGTGAGTGTGTTCATACCTGTTATGATGGGTCTGCCTGAGAAGAGAAGGAAAGACATGAAGGCAGCAATAAGACAGAGGATGTAGTAATTTCGTTATGATGGGTGGATTCGTTATATCAGTGCTAAAATGTCAATTCTTAGTATTTGTGTGATATCAATGGTTGTTTAACTGCTGTAATCTAGCTGCTTCTACTATTCGAGAGAATTACTATCTGGAGTTACTTTCCACAGGACGCATAAAAGAAAAACGAAAACTGAGAAACAAAAACAGAAAACATGCATTTCAGTCTGAATAACCAACATATCACAAGGGCTGGAACCATTTTTCCCATTTTAATAGGAGATTAAATCAAAAGCTTTACAGTAGCCTTGCTTTTGAATGATTTAACTGGAATGATAAACACTAATCTTTTCATTAGTGTTGACTTATAAATGATTCAGTATGGGCAGCAGGAAACATTCATAATTCAGAGGGCAAAAGGGGATACAGACTCAAATGCATGGCAAATCTTGCCATGTCATGCATGCAAGTCTTCAACTCTTTTCCTTGGTAGAGAGAATATGTTGAAAGAAGCTTTACAAACTGATATAAAAGGAATGTGAATATATAGTCATTGGTTCAGATATTTTAAATGGAAGAAAAGGCTAACTATAAATATTCTTAAAAATTCTGCCTTCCCCCTCCTCCTACCTGTCCTGCATACCCTGTGTTAGAAATTCTGTATACAGTCCTACAGAACAAACAGTGCACAGTTCACATGTGCTTTTCTGCTGCTTCACTGCGATCAGGAAACAGGAAACTTGTTATTTAGAGAAAAGATTAGAGTATATCATAGATGCAACTACAAACCTGTAATCACTGCAATAATAAGTCTACTGATAGAAGAATACATTTTTACTGAATACTGTTGTAGTTGTTGCACAAAATACATGAACACTGTATTCCAACACCTCCACTCAACAACTACTCCTTATATTAGTCCCATCTGGGATCATCTCTTCATCATCAGCTCTGATCCACTTTAGTTTGTTTTCACATTAGTAAACAAAACAGTTCTCCTCCCTGTCAGAGATCCTCGGTAATCACCAGGCGCTGACGAGGAATCACCGGCAGGGACCTGACGGCCACGAATGGTGGTGCGGGTATGGCACGCACGCTTCGAAATGCAAAATCACTTATATACATGATTTTGCGCACCTGACACCCTGTAGCAGTATTTCTGCTATAGGGCAGTCGGGAAGCGGTTACAGCAGACTCTGCTATAGAGGCACCATCACTAGTAACGCTTTCTGTTTTACACTTATATTCATCCATAAGCTTGCCCTTAACATATACAAATGGCAGTTCATCTTCTTGATGTGCATCAACTGCTGTGACAAGCGTTTCATAGCTTTCTGGTAAACTGTTAAGTAATAGTGCTGAGACATGAAAATCTCTTTTTTCTTCCCCTATACCTCTCAGGTGTTCAACCATTTCCAGCGCGTGTCTTATGTAATCCTGCATATCCTGACCTTTCAACAGCTTGTTTTAGTATAACTTTCTGATCAAATACTGTTTATTGCTGAGATTAGATCTTTCATGCACCCTTTTGTAATCCTTCCTACATTTCTTTAGCAGTTTCACACATACATAGACAGGTATGTATGATTTGATCATCTTCTATGCTAAGAGAGATTGTGGTTTTAGCTTTCTGCTCTCTTTATCCACTCTTCTGAAGGGTGTTCTGGCCTGACTTCATATATACATTTCCACATATTTCCAAGACTGGTAGTTCTGGTTTGTCAGGTTCGCAAATTAAAGCTTTCTTACGGATGTGTTACTGGCCATTTTATTCTTTTGCAGTCTTCTTTCTCTTGCTGTATCTTGCACTATTTGCTGTAGTGGCTATGACTGGGAAACTGGGCCCATAACCTGTTAGAAATTCTGTATATAGCCATACAAAACAAACCGTGCACAGCCCACATGTGCTTTTCTGCTGCTTCGCTGCAATAAGTAAACGGGAAACTTTTTATTCAGAGAAAAGACATAGAGTATATCATAGATGCAGTTACAAACATATAAACACTGCCATCTACTGGTTGAAGAATATATCTCTATCGAATACTGATGTAGTTGTAGCACAAAATACATGAACACTGTATTCCAACACCCTGTATGAAAAGATCTGTGTACTTACCTTTTTTAATCCGGTCCAGTCACGTGACGCAGCAGCTCCAGCGCCGCTGTGTCAGAGAGCAGCCCTTTCAGGGGAAATGAGGGATCGCCGATAACTGATGGGCCATGGGAGTGCTCCCTTACACAGGGTAGGCGAGCTGCTGAATCACGTGACCAGACAGGATCAAAAAAAAGGTAAGTACACTATATTGACAAAACTATTGGGACACCCTTTCCAAATCATTGGATTTAGGTGTTCCAATCACTTTCATGGCCACAGGTGTATAAAATCAAGCACCTAGGCACGCAGACTGCTTCTACAAACATTTGTGAAACAATGGATCACTCTCAGGAGATCAGTGAATTCAAGCGTGGCACCATGATAGGTTGCACCTATGCAATAAGTCCATCCGTGAAATTTCCTTGCTACTAAATATTCCAAGGTCAACTGTTAATGATATTATAACAAAGTGCAAGCAGCTGGGAACAGCAACTCCATCATGCAGTGGTAGGCCACATAAAACGATAGAGCAAGGTCAGTGTCAGGGATCCTACAGCGGTAGTCTCTAGCACTCCACAGACCGGATTCCCCCAAAGCGCGGAATCTAAGTCCCTACCTGCTTGTTCACCAGGGCCCCTGATGGTGGGGATGGACTTGGAGCAGGCCGAGACCAGGTCGCGGGCCCCTGAGTTCACCCAGCTGTGGTAGAAGCACTGTTGGAGGTGTATAGCAGGTGAGAGTCTGATGTGAGGAGGTCACAAGAGCAGCGTCAGGCAGGCCGGGTCGGTAACAGTGGTGGCAGCGTGGTACAAAATCAGCAGGCAGAGGAATAAACAGGTCACAAGCCGGGTTCGTTAACAGGAGATCAGAACGTGCAGGGTTAAGCAGGAGAATGGTCAGACAAGCCAGGGATCAGAACAGGAGACAGACAGCAAATCAGGGTCAGGCAGGGTCGGCAACAAGACAATCTACTAAACAGGAACTTCAGGAAACAGGTAAGACCACTTGAGCATTGCAAGAGCTGGGTTTAAATAGGCCGCCCAACTCCTGACAGGCGCTCCTGGGTCCTAGTGCCTGCCTGCCTGTATGTCTTGTCAGGATTCTACGCATGTGCAGATTCGATCGCCGAGGCGATCTTCCCATTCCCTGACAGTCAGCACATACTGAAGCGCACAATAGCTAAAGACCTCCAAACTTTGCGTGGCCTTCAGATTAGCACAACAACAGTGTGTAGAGAGCTTCATGTAATGGGTTTCCATGGCCTAGCATCTGCATCCAAGCCTTACATCACCAAGTGCAATGCAAAGCGTCAGATGCAGTGGCATAAAGCACGCCAGCACTGGACTCTAGAGCAGTGGAGATGTGTTCTCTGGAGTGACAAATCATGCTTCTCTGTCTGGCAATCCAATGGACTTGTCTGGGCTGGGTGGTTGCCAGGAGAACAGTACTTGCCTGACTGCATTGTGCTAAGTGTAAAGTTTGGTGAAGGGGGGATTATGGTGTGGGGTTGTTTCAGGGGTTGGGCTTGGCCCCTTAGTTCCAGTGAAGGGAACACTTAAGGCGTCACCATAACAAGACATTTTGGACAATTTCATGCTCCCAACTTTGTGGGAACAGTTTGGGGATGGCCCCTTCCTGTTCCAACATGATTGCGCACCAATGCACAAAGCAAGGTTCCATAAAGACATGAATGAGCTTTGGGTGGAGGTACTTGACTGGCCTGCACCTCAACCCGATAGAACACCTTTTGTGATGAATTAGAGCGGAGACTGTGAGCCAGGCCTTCTCGTCCTACATCAGTGTCTGACCTCACAAATGCGTTTCTGGAAGAATGGTCAAGCATTCCCATAGACACAACCTTGTGGACAGCCTTCCCAAAAGAGTTGAAGCTGTTATAGCTGCAAAGGATGGGCCAACTCAATATTGAACTCTACAGACTAAGAGTGGGATCCCGATAAAGTTCATGTGCGTGTAAAGGCAGGTGTCCCAATACTTTTAGAATATAGTGTGCATGCTACCAGATTTTGACACTAGTCTGGTTGACTACCTTCACACTAGAAATTCGTGTAGGGTGTGTGGTACCTTTTTTTTTCCCCTCCCTTTTTTTTTTCTTTCTCCCTTCCCCCCTTCTCATTTTTTTTTCCTCTCTATCCTCTTTCCTCTCTCTACTTCGTTCCTTTTGTGTCAGGAATTATTAATGACTAAAGCCTAGGTTCACACTAGAATGCAGTGTGATCTGTGTGTTTCCCACACCAAATTCAAATCGCACTGCCCTTGCAATCTGCAGCAGGTGTCAGTGCAATCTAAACGACACCCCAAATGCAGGTCACATTTACCTACATCGGTACACAATGACAATGCAATTTGGTTGCAGTGCAATGACACTGCCTTTCACTTTATGTGTGAAATGTTACTACTGCATTGTTTTAAATAAAAATTATTCACTTCAGCTGTGGAATGTTTTACCCCCTTCATGACCAGGACATTTTTTGTATTTCGGCACTGTGCTACTTTAACTGGCAATTGCTCAGTCATGCAGATTGTAATCAAATAAAGTTTTACATAATTTTTTGTCACACAAATAGAGTTTTTTTTTGGTGGTATTTTATCACCACTGGGTTTTTTATTTTTTATATAAGCGAATAAATACCATAGATGTTTGAAAAAAAACCCAAAACACAATATTGGATGGTTATGGGTTTGATAGGGGATGCAGGTGGCCATTGGGTGGTCTTACTTCTGCTTGGGTTGCTGGCTAGGGAAAATACTGTACGAATCCAGAGGTGGGCTTGCTTGACTTTGAACCTGGTTGAGATGAGTGTTGGTGCTAATATGTCAGGAGCAGTCTGCAGTGGTGTGTAGCTGCTGTAGGAGAGCAGAGGTAATGAATTTCCCAGAGATAGAGGTTAGGATTGTCCATTAGCTGAGAAATGTGGTGGGAATGTAGATTAGGAGTGCTTGTCAGTTTAGAGGCATGGGCCACAGGCGCTTGTCCCTCTAAGGCTGGCCATATATTATACAATTTTCTTATTCAATTTTCTTTTGATTTACCTTCAATTTGCATGCAATCAGGCAGGCCCTTGCACTACATTGTTAAATGTTTAGGTTTGAACTCTTATTATATGGTTTTGGTGATCTAAAGGAAAATTGTACAAGAAAATTGTATAATGTATGGCCAGCCTTAGTGCTTGTGTTTTGTGTGAGTCAGCCTCGGTTCACACTGATGCGGTGCGGAATTTGCAGAATTTCCTGTGTAAATTCCACACCGCATCAGAATCGCACCCGTTCATGCAGACCGCTGCAGGTGTGTATGTTAAGTTAACAACACCCCAAAATCGGTTCACAAAACATGGTGCGATGTGCAGAATCGGATCGCATGGGTGTGAATACCCATGCAATCCGATTCTAGTGCAGTCCAGAAAAAGGGTCCTGCACCTTTTTGGTGCGGTTCCTATGCGAATCACATGCGATATACCGCACCGCACAAGTGTGAACCCAGGCTCATTGGTCACTAGGTGTGGAAGTGGAGGAGGATAGTGATTGAACAAGAGGTAGTGAGGTTTTGGGGGGAGCTAGAACAAGTGGCATAAGTCTTACTTCCTGTTTTGGCAATGGGATAGGAAGTGAAGGGAAATCTCCCAATGGGACAAAGATTGCAAAAGTAAAACCAAGAGGGATTGTAACACATTCTTACGCTGTCCAAAATAAAAAAAAAATTGCATTTAGTTTTACTTTAAAGTGTTACTAAACTCACAACAGTAATATCAGACTGTATATGCAGTAAAGCATGTTTGTTATACTCACTGTGGAACCTAAGGGGTTAATCCTCTGCATTGTGTAAAAATGCTGTTTGATCCTGACTTCTCAACCTCCCCTTCTTCCAGTGGCCACCTCTTATCTCCTGATAGGACAGATTGTGTGCAGTCACTCTGCACATGCTCAGTTTAGTGTGTATTGCTTCGGAGCGTGCATGTGATCAGCCCAGGGCCAATCAGCACTGTCCAGACAGAGGTCAGGGGGTCTGCATCCTCCTACAGCAAAATGAAAACTACTACAAGCTTTAACATGCGCTCTGCTGGACACTGATAGGAGTCACAAGGCTGCTGTAACTGCTGATGAGAAAAGGTATTTAGCAGTTTATAATTACTAAAATTATTGAACTTCAATGCTGTGTGTACTGTGGGGGAGACTAGATATAGTGAATGCAGGGTCCTGGGTTTATTTACACTTTAGTCTCTCATTTCCTTGGCATGAAATTGGCCATCCTTCTACAGCTGTGCTTTGCCAGTTTATGCTCCAAACAGAGCACAAACCGTAATAAACTGTATGTGTGTGGGATACATTCAAGGAAAGGTATAAAGAGAATCACTTAGGATAATATGGTTGCACTGTAGATGTGCTTCTGTGATTGTTTTGGCAAAGTCTGAGGTGAAAATAGCATAGTGATGGTTACTGGATGTGACATTTTTCATGACGTCTGGGAAGCATAGCTGGGAAATGTCAATTCAACCTAGTATATAATCTTATAATACACTTTATAAACAATCTAATTTAAGAATCTGGTGGAAATTTAGAGGAAGATCAGCATATAATTTAATCAGGACCTTTACAATATACCCCACAATGTACAATCATATTCTTTAAAGAAGAATCAAAATTGTTAAAGAAAACATTCATTTGTGTATTTAGTGTATGTTTTAGGAATGATTTCTTAAATGTCATACACTTTAACTTGTCCATGTCGTTGTAAAACGACATCCTTTTCTTTGGGATATTTTTATTCACAGTCTGGCAGGGCAGCTACTCCTTTCCTGTGGCACTGAAGTAACCTGTAACCTTTGAGTTTATTTGTTCACTGTGGTCCTGTGGTTTCATTGTTTCCCTCCTGTGGCTTTGTTGTTACTTCTCCTGCAGATTTCTTTCCATCCTGTGGTTTATTGTTTCCGATATTAAATCATTGCTGCTGCATAGTCTCCACTGGATTAAGTAGTTCTTTATATTGTTTGCCTAGCACCAGAATCCACACCAAATATTTCTCATGGATTGTTAAGTAAATGTTAAGTAGCGTTATGGAACATAAGTGTTTTCTGCTGCCTATCTAACATAACAATGTTCCTATTTATTATGCTAGTTTTAGTTATTACCAGCCAGATGCTTACTGAAAAAAAAAATTGGTGACCGTTTTAGAATTGGATTCTAGCCTTGTTACCAGGATGAGCCTAACGCATGCTAAAGACATCCGCATTAAAATGAAAATGTTATTTTATTTCTTTTTTTGTTAATTTTGTTATTTGTTGTGTTTTAATTTTGTTATTTATTGTGTTTTTAGAGAACATAGTACAGGCATTTTATGGTGACAACAGTAGTATCTATGTAGATATCCATTCAAATAAAGATATAAAGAACTGTAGCAAAAGTATAAAAGCTCATTAGCCAAAATTAGGTGAATGCGTGTACGAGGGGCCTTCAGACTGTTTCCGCACTTGTAAACATATATATATATATATATATATATATATATATATATATATATATAGACACATGTGTATGTATGTGTTCACATACTTTTGGAAATATAATGTGTGTATATACAGGTGTATATGTATGTGTATGTGTGTGTATGTATGTATGTATGTATATATATATATATATATATATATATATATATACAAACACACACACTATATTGCTAGGCGTATTGGGATACTCCTCCAAATCATTGGATTCAGGTGTTCCAATTTTATGCACCACTAGTGCATAAAATCAAGCACCTAGACTTCTTACACAAAACATTTGTGAAAGAATGGGTCACTCTCAGGAGCTCAGTGAATTCAAGCGTGGTACCGTGATAGGTTGCCACCTGTGCAATAAGTCCATCTGTGAAATTTCCTTGCTACTAAATATTCCACGGTCAACTGTTAGTGATATTATAACAAAGTGGAAGCAATTGGGAACAACAGCAACTCAGCCACGAAGTGGCAGGCCATGTAAAATGACAGAGTGGGTTCAGCACATGCTGAATCGTGCAGTGCGCAGAAGTTGCCAAGTGTCTGCAGAGTCAATAGCTAAAGAACTCCAAACTTCATGTGGCCTTCAGATTAGCACAACAACCGTGCTTAGAGAGCTTCATGGAATGGGTTTCCATGGCCGAACATCTGCATACAAGCTTTACAACACCAAGTGCAATGTAAAGTGTTGGATGCAGTGGTTTAAAGTACGCTGCCACTGGACTCTTAAGCAGTGGAGATGTGTTCTCTGGAGTGATGAGTCACACTTCTCTTTCTGGAAACCCGATGGACGTTTCTGGGTTGGGCAGTTGCCTGACTGCATTGTGCCAAACGTGAAGTTTGGTGGAGAGGGGATTATGGCATGGGGTTGTTTTTCAGGGGTTGGGCTTGGCCCCTTAGTTCCAGTGAAGAGAACTCTTAAGGTGTCAGCATATCAAGACATTTTGGATAATTTCATGCTGCCAACTTTGTGGGAACAGTTTGGGGATGGCCCGTTTCTGTTCCAACATGACTGTGCACCAGTGCACAAAGAAATGTCCATAAAGACATGGATGAGTGAGTTTGGGGTGGAGGAACTTGACTGGCCTGCACAGAGTCCTGACCTCAACCCAATAGAACACTTTTGGGATGAATTAGAGTGAAGACTGCGAGCCAGGCCTTCTCATCCGATATCAGTGCCTAACCTCACAAATGTGCTTGTGGAAAAATGGTCAAACATTCCCATAGACACACTCCTAAACCTTGTGGACAGTCTTCCCAGTAGAGTTGAAGCTGTTATAGCTGCAAAGAGTGGGCCAACTCAATATTGAACTCTACGGACTACGACTGGGATGCCATTAAAGTTCATGTGCGCGTAAAGGTAGGCGTCCCAATACTTTTGGCAATATAGTGTATGTATGTGTGTGTTAAAAAGAAAACTTTTTGAAGAACCCTCGTACATAGACAATATGAAGTGGAAGGGGGATAGCGGGAGGAGGAAGGCGGAAGTGAGAACTGAACACCTAGGGAAAGAAAGGAACAGGCATCACACAGCTGCTTTTTAAAAAAAAATCTTTTGTAACTATAGAGTAGAGGAAAGAGTTTTATCAGTTAATTCTGGTGGTTTGAAATTGAATGGTGGATTGAATTAGGGATGCATCGGTCACAGTGATGACCAATCAGAAGCCGTATAGTCCTTACGGTCATCCTTGCAAGGAGAGGAGAGAAAGCCGTGGGGATTTCAAATCCCCAGACCTGTGAAGCGGCTTTCTCTCCTCTATGTAGGGATAACACTATGGGCAAGACGGCCTCTGATGGATCAGCACCGTCAAAAGCCATCTAGCCCATAGTGTCATCCCTGCACAGAGAGGAGAGAAAGCCACAGGGATTTCAAATCCCCAGACCCGTGAATCGGCTTTTCCTTCTGTGATAGCATTGGATCAACGCAGGGAGGTTTCCCGTACTACCCCTGTGTCAACTCAGGCTATGACAAGCCTGGGTTCACACAGGAACAGTGGGGAAACCCCATGTGATTTGGATAGGAATTGCATTCCTGTTCCAATCACATGCTATTTTTTGTGGTGCAATTTGCGTCTATACAAAATTTTTATATAAACGCAAATCGCACCGCAAAGTATCAGCGATTACTTGACTGAAAGTAAAGGTACTCTTACTCACCGATCATAAAAGAGCATCCCTATAATGAATAATTGTAATGAGCTTTATCAACTTCTAAGGGAGTAAATTCCTACATATTTGAATAGGTTAGAGGGGTTTGTCAAACCACGAAAATGCTTGCTGCATTGCGGTCATGCCTCTGGCTTAAGTACTGTCAGTAATTTCACAGGAACAACAGTGCAGTAAGTGAAGTCAGGACTGTTTTTCTGCATGCCTGTTTTTGGATCACTGATTTAGAAAATACTGAAGCCATTGGAGTTGCGTGGCAGCTGGGCACCTACCATTTTAAATGTTAAAGTTAGCAATGGACGCCTATATTTCTCTCAACATAGGACATAGGTAATGTTTCATTATTAGATGCTTCTAAAAAGAATATATAAATCCAATTTAGAATCTGTGGCAAGACTTGAATATTGCTGTTCACAGACGCTCTCCATTCAATCTGACAGAGCTTGCGCTATTTTGCAAAGAAGAATAAGCAAAAATGTTACTCTCTAGATGTGCAAAGCTGGTAGAGACATATCCAAAAAGACTTGGAGCAGTAATTGCAGCGAAAGTTGGTTCTACAAAGTATTGACTCAGGGGGGCTGAATACAAATGCCGCCAAACTTTTCGCATATTTATCTGTAAAAAATGTTGAGAACAATTTTCCTTCCAGTTCACAATTATGTGCCACTTTGTGTTGGTCCATCACATAAAATCCCAATAAAATACATATATGTTTTTGGTTGTAACATGATAAAATGTGGAAAATTGGGTATGAATACTTTTTCAAGCTACTGTGTTGACCTTCTTAATGAACCACTATCAGAAATACCAAACACTCTGAATCTCTGATATTCTGCATCTTCTAATATCAATTGCTAGATCCGGAAAATCACCAAAAATTAATTTACAATGAACGTAAACCAACTTTCACGGATTATGTATATCTAAAAACAAAAATCAAAGAATATTGTAAAATCAATCAAATACAGATAGTTCTATATCCTGTTGGCATTTCAAATTTTTTTTTTTTTGGTCTTTGTCCGCCTCTTTAGCCGCTCGGATTGCTTTTACAAGAGAGCTGACCGTTGGGTCTAAATCCTGCTGCTTGCCTGCAGCAGGGCTGAAGAGTATGTTGAGTTTTAAATCAAGGAACATGATAACTAAAAATGGATTTTCTCCATATAATTGATCCACTATATGCTATGATAGGAACTAAAGCATATGCAAGGCAGCGGATGATAGCCCAAAGCTATATATGCATTATTGTACAGATTATGATAAGGTACTATGATCACTTTTCAGAGTGTGAATATGTTTTCCTAGGTATCCAGGGAAAGTGGCATCGACATCCATTACAGCCTCTCATGTTATTCCTTGTGATAGCAATTAGACCATAAAATGATGGACAATCAATGAAGTTATGCCAGTCTATCTGTGTACCACCAAGACAGGGATCTTAATAGCTCTCTCAGAAGGTAACACTGTGTCCACAGTATTCATAAGGCAGCGATAGGGATCATGGCTTTAAATTGACATCTGGCTTATGCCATTACAGCCTCTGATGCTGCCCTTAATGTGTTAAATGCAAGGCTGCTGAGCAGAGTGATGCTTACCTTTCCTGAAATGGAAGATGCCATTCCTGGCCCAGTGCGCTCACTGATAGCGCTCGGCCAATGGATGGTCACTTTCTGTCAGATGTACGCAGAGTCGCATTAGGTCATTGCCCGCTCATAGCCCACTGCATGTGAAAACGTTTGGCATGCTCAGTGTTTCGGGAGGCTGTGAAGATGGGCAGGACGTCATGACATCCCTGTGACGTCAACATGTTTCACCCAATTGCATGAGCTTCAAGACCACTTGCCTGCAGTAGGGCTGAATGTGAAAAAAAATGTCTATACCTGCCTGGCTTCTGGAACTGCATGCCCTGGGCTTTGGACGTTCGATTTGCACATCCCTGTCTTCACTGTTGGCATGTTTTGGAATACAGCTTCCAGAGACCGTTTTATTTCTGTGTATGATGTTAATTTTCAGACTGTTTGATCTGTCCTCATCTCCCGGAACACTGCCTTTCAATAGTCCTGCCTCCATCATATAAACCAAACTTAAATAATTATCCTATAATCTTAACCTCGTGCTTCTTCTGAGAAGCTGTGCAGGAAAACCATGTTGGGACGTATGGCATCCATGTAAGGCACCCAGCTATTCTGCCTCATCCTTCAGCTGTAAGGAGTACCTGTCTTGTGAACCACTTACCACACTGTGACATACAGTGTATATCTTTATACCATACATATGAGTTAGATCCATCCTTTTACTTCAGCAAATGCTTTTCTGCTGGAAACTGGGGAAAGGTTTCACTTGCTTTAATTGCTGCATATTGCTTAGTAGTCTAATGACTTTTACACTATTGACTGACACTTTTGTTTATGGAAAGCCGAGATCCTTATTTGTACTGTATTTTCATAATTGATATACAGCTGATCTTTTTGTAGCTCGTTCTTTGTGTGTGCAATTAAGTAATCAGCATTGGAGAGGACTTACTGCTTTTACAATATTCAACTTGAATACTGCTGTACGCAGATGTTTTGTGTTTCATAGAATAGACAGTATCTTACCCCTTATATAGAATATCTTACATTCTGTGTATCTTTGTATACTCTTGTACTTTGAGAGAACTGAAATGTTATTACAGTGTTACATATTCTCTTAATTATATGATTTTCAAGTAACTTTCGGTGCGATTTGAAATAGAAAAAATATTATAATATTTACAAAGCTGCAGTAATATTATAATATTTACATACATATACAGGGCTCAAAATTTCAAGTCCTGAGCTACTATCTAGGCCTTAAGTGTTACCCACCACCAGTTCCCCCACCCAACCCTTACCTTGCCCCGCTGTGAACTGCATAAAAAACTGTTCTTTGTTTTATGCAGTTCATATGAACAAAATCATGTAGACTTCACCTCCGCAACATCTCCAAGATACGACCGTTCCTAACCCCGGAAACCACTAAGCAACTTATCCACTCCCTGGTTATATCTCGCCTTAACTATAGTAACTCCCTCCTCATTGGCCTACCTCATCGCAGGCTATCCCCACTCCAGTCTATCATGAATGCTGCTGCCAGACTCATCCACCTTACTAACCGTTCTGTATCTGCCATCCCTCTCTGCCAATCCCTCCACTCGCTCACAGTTGCCCAACAGATAAAATTCAAAACACTAACACTGACATATAAAGCCATCACAACACTGCCCCAAATTACATAACCAAACCCCACATAACCCCACTGCGGTTCTCATTTAATCCTATCCACCTCCTGATCTGCTCCTATGTTGTGTGTGCCTGGGGTGTTGTCCCCTGGCTGACCTGTGTAGCTGGTCCGGTATCCCATTAACTGGCGCTGTTGGCTGCCCAGGTCCCTGTCTTATGCAGCACATTGTAAAGCCTTAAAGTTTTTTACCTTAATACATCCTATGCATTAAGGTAAAAAGCCTGTGCCTGGGATC